CCGCTCACTGCTCACTGTGCACCTGGGGCCCTCATAGGTTCTCCAGTCCCTTCCGAGTTCCACCTGGATTCCGGCTGCTTCCGGTCAGATGTTACTGTTCTGTTTCTCCTCTCTGCTGGTGGAACAAGTCAAGTTCTTTCCGGCTTGGGCCACCCACACTTGAGAAGGGATCTGTTCTTCCCACAGCCCCCTGGATTCTGACTCAGCAGTTTGTAGGGATCTTCCCCAGAACTTTCCAGAACCTTCTTGGGCGCTTGGTGCTGGGGCTACTACTCTGGAGTTGCTAGTGCTTTGTTTTTTCAGGAATTCTCTGCCTTCTGATGCTTCTTCAAACCTTCCCGAGTCCTGCTCCCCCCAAATGTGCTTTCACTCTCCTCTCGTTTGCCCCAGCAGCCCCTAATCACTTTGCATTGCCCTTGAACCCTATCTAGTTCTTACTGGCCCGTTCATGGGCTACCTTGCTCCTCTTCTCCAGACAAACGTGCGCAAAAACGTACACAAATATCTGTAAGCGTTAGCACACCTACAATCTACTTAAATGTTGGTGGTCCCCGGATGGACAGAGGAGTGGGGAGTGACACTAATGATTGATCACTCAGTATTTCTGCACCCGGGACGGATGCTGTAATTACAGGATCAACTTCAGAAAAGTCCTTTTGTTGTTAAGTATATTAAAGGGGGTGTTGCAATTCACTAAAATAATTGCGAAGCCTTTCCTCCCGATTAGTAAGTGTAAAGTTGATTACTATACATTTTTCCTGTCACTCCTTTGTGACATACTCCTAAGATGGTTTGACAGCTGGCATGCTCTGGGGAGGCGACGGGCACAGCCTCATACCATTTCTTTAGGCAGACACGCAAGCTATCTTACCTCTGACCTTTGTTCGCTCACCCTTGACTCCTCCGTCAAGTGGCAAGCCTAGGCATTCCTTGTCCTTGTTTCTGTTCACATCCATCCAAAACGCATTGACAAGTCAATTCTATTGTTAAGAACAAACCAAGTTGACAGAATTGCTATAAAAAACGGATGAAACGAATTCTTTTCGCAACAAGAGGGTCCCAAATCTGATTATTAACATCAAACAACCCCACTGTTTTAGGCTCGTGTTTCCAAGCAGCGTGTCTGATGAAAAGCCTTTTGTGTCCTAGGCTGACTATGCTCGCTTAATCTCAGATAGCTTTCAGCGAAAATTAATTTACTAAGATATGAAATATACAAACAAAAGTTAAAAAAAAATGTGACTCCCCTACTGAGGCTCAAGTGAAAAATGCTTGCAAACTGTTTTTATACTTTCTTTTTTTTCCCTTTAAAATTGACTTAAAATGCCAGTTCATTCTTTTGGAAAGATCACGATATGTTCTTTTAAAGACAAAGACTGGAGAGGAAAACGGACAATTTTAAAAAGCTTTCTCTATTCAATTTGATATGTTGGGCATGTAGGTACTTTATTTGGCTTTTGATTGTTATTTGGGAAATTAAAAACTAACAAATGAGGAAAAGTAAAAGCTATGTTGGGATGGTAACATAAACTTGCCTCTGATGTTGTATTTTTCTTTTTCTTTTAATTTTTTAAATGTTTATTTATTTTTGAGAGAGAGAGAGAGAGAATGAGCAGGGGAGGGGCAAAGAGAGGGAGACGGGGAGAGACAATCTGAAGCAGGCTCCAGGCTCTGAGCTGTCAGCACAGAGCCCCGACACGGGGCTCAAACCCACAAACTGTGAGATCACGACCTGAGCCAAAGTCCCACGCCCGACCGACTGAGGCACGGTTGTACAGTAAGCACCAAAGTTGTTTCTCCTTTTAAAGGGAGAAACTCAGGGCGCCTGGGTGGTGCAGTCGGTTAAGCGTCCGACTTCAGCCAGGTCACGATCTCGCGGTCCGTGAGTTCGAGCCCCGCGTCAGGCTCTGGGCTGATGGCTCGGAGCCTGGAGCCTGTTTCCGATTCTGTGTCTCCCTCTCTCTCTGCCCCTCCCCCGTTCATGCTCTGTCTCTCTCTGTCCCAAAAATAAATAAACGTTGAAAAAAAAAATTAAAAAAAAAATAAAAAAAATAAAGGGAGAAACTCAACAACTTCAATAATGGTACACGTGGACAAATTTAATAGCTCTAGCTGCTGGATCTTGACTCGTTTGCCCCTGGTTAGTACTCTAGTAACAATAATTCGTTTATGAGTCATTACACTAAAGGGATTTCCAAATGGTGGTAATGAAAATCACGAAGAGCCGGCAATTTTTGTCCGGCTCACCTGAGCCCAACAGCCGGCACCCGTAGTGGCCCACCCGGTTGGCACCTGTGCCCCTCCCCCACCCGACACGCTGGAGACAGCGCCCCGGGGCCGCCCGCGCCCTCCTCCCCGGGGGGGTGGGGGTGGGGTGGGGGCTTCCTCCCGCGGCCGCACCCTCAGGCACAGGCACGCGCACCTGCAGAGCCTCGTCCGGCCGGGTCCTGGGACCCTGGGACTTCTGCTGGGCGCCCGACCTCCCGCAGCCCCGCCGCCCCTGCCCGCTGTCCGGGCCGGCGGGGACGGAAGAGCCGGGGGCCACGCACGCTCTAGTCTCCCGGAGCCCCGCCCCTCACCAGACGCGGTCGGAGCGGGACCTCGGGGCCCTCCGGGCGGCGGAGGGAGCGGGGCGGGGCCAGAGCGAAGGGCTGGGCGGAGCACGCGCCAGGGTGGAGGGCGCGGCGAGGCGCGGGGCGAGGGAGGGCG